CGGAATCGGGCGTAAGCAGTGATGTGACGACAAGCAATAGTGAGGATTCGAGTTCTGCGTATAATAAAGGGATGTCGGGGACCGTTTTTTCTGAGATCAAGGACCCCACCGGAAGATGATGAAGAAGAAGAAGGCCTGATTTGCAATAATTTTCTTTTTTTTTTTTTTGGTCAAGGGGCTTTTTGGCAATATTTATATTTTTTAAAAATTTATGGAACTAAACTAAGTGGTTGTTTATAAATAATTTATTATGTAATTGATTTGAGATTTGTATGACATAAATTTAATTTTCCATAGAAATATATTGGAAAAATTATAAAAAGTATTTTCTTTGTCATTCGTGTAATTGATTTGAGATTTGTATGATATAAATTTGATTTGATTTTCTCAATGATTTAAAAGTTTTAATTTTACCCCAAGTTTCTTAATTTGTTTCCAATGTAGTTAGTTTTCCAAGTTTCTTAATTATAAAAAATATTTTCTTCCTCGTCCGTGTAGTTAGTTATACATATAATCAATATAGTTATTTATAATTTTGCGTTAAATTTTTGAAAAAAATTTGTTAGTAACATTTTGAAATTTTTAATTTTTCATCTTGTTGGGTAATTATTTCATTTTTTTTATTTTTTGTCTTTAAAAGTTAAAGCTTATAAATATATATCACGTATTTATTTTATGTTTTGTTATCTTCTTAAAAGATCTGTTTTTTAAAATTTGTTTCTATTCTGTTTAAGGATTCAAATGTGTTTTAAAAAATAGTGGGGCAGAAACTAGTATAATTCTCTGAAACAATCCTTTGATGTATATTTAAATAGGCAAAAATGGATGTTTTGGGCATGTTCTTATTAAAATCTAACAAGTAGCATAGAATCTGAAACGGTTAAAAAGGTGCTCAATACTTTTGTGACATTTATTAGCTATGATGGAATTTTGATATTTATTGATTTTTTATGACGTTTAAAAAACATTATAAATAATGAAAAAATACGTAAATCTCTCTCTTTTTTTTTTCATTTCCAACTATCATTGAATCCTAATATTTATTGACTTTTCATGATGTTTAAAAATAAATCATAAATAATGGAAAAATCCTTAAATCTTGGTTTTTTCTCATCAAAACTGTGCCTCAATATTTTATGACATTTTTAATTGTATTGAATCAAGGATTTTGGATATTTGTATGGGGAGAAAATTATATGGAACCATTAATTTCCCAACACCCCATACATATTTAACTAAAAAATAAATATTTATTTAAAAATAATTTTTTCAAGATAATCTCAAACTCACTCCAACATTGTAACACAAATCATACGTAAATTTCTTTTCAAAGTGCTCCTCCTCAGACCATTTTTAAAGAACGAAAAGGACATTTTAACAATCGGGTCCATCATCCCATTGGACATCACTAATTTAATAGTAAATTATTTGATTGGATGGGCACTACCAGATATCAGTACAATGATAAAAATAAATAAGTTTAAATACTATATTTTAGTTTCTCTATCTTTTAAAATGAAGAACCTTCATTTTAGTTCCTTTATTTTGAAATTTTGTTCATCTTATCTTTATACTCTCAAATTCAAACAATCTATTGTACTTCTAGTAATTTTATTTTAAAAAGTGACCAATAAAATTCTTTTAATTTTATATACAATGAAAGCTCTTCAATACAAATTCATGATTATATTTTAATAATTTAGCCAGTGAAATGTCATATTAAAATTATAATTCAAATAAATAAAATCAAAATGGAATAATAAAAATTTGTTTCTTTTTAAAAATATAAGATCAAAATAAATATTTTAGAAGTATATAAATTAATAAATAAAAATTGAAATTTAAAGTATAATGATCAAACATACATTTTTAGAAGTAAATAAACTCAAATAAATTTAAGTCGACACATTAAAATAGTATTTAAATAAAATATTTTAACTTCTTCCTAAAAAGAATGAGGTGTGCTGTTGATTTGATGTCTAACAGTGCTGTAATACATTTGCATTTGTACACTCATTTTCATCCAACAGCTGTCGGCAGAAGGAAAAAACTAATAATAAAAAATAAGAAAAAGAAAAACACCCTGTAATTAGAAAAGAAACAAAAACAAAATAAACTAAACCCACTCTTTTGACAGTGAAGGGCATGTGAATCATTTTAATTTTAATTCTTTGTTAAAGAACTTATTCACATGAATATATATTTTAACACCTAATATTTTGGTGTTTTTGAATCTAGTTTATACTGTCTAAAATTTTTTAATGTAATCTTTAATATTTAAATATTTTTTAATTATAAATTTACATGACATGGAAAAAATTTAAAGAAGAAAGGAGACCTAGGAAGAAAACAAATTTTCTCACTCTAAATTTCTAAGAATTTGATAGAGGATTTTCAATTTCCTCTTCTAAAGTAACTTAATTCATCTTTTAAAATTTTGCGAGCTCACTAATAGTGGGATGATTTTTTTTTTTTTACAATAATTAGAAATTTAAAGTGTGTTTAGTATATACTTTTTTTTATTGATTTTAAATAACTAAAAATACTTTCTAAAAGTAGTAATTAAAAATATTCTTAAAAAATCATTTTAAAAGAAACACTTAATAATAGATAAATTATCCAAAAGCCGGCTTTAACGTGACTGAGATTAACTACTTAAGGGTCGTTTGTTTAGTGAGAATTTGAGATTCCCATGAAATGGGCATCCAGATTTTCGTACTTGTTTGATAGGAATATTGGATACCTGAGCATTTTTGGATGTCGGAGGTATCTGAGCAATTTTAGATGTCCTCCTCTAACATGAGTTTTTAAGATTCCCGTGTCGAGGATATCTTCTTTTTGATAATTTTGTCACTATCATTTTTGT